TATGAGAGAGAGAGCAGGGGGAGGAGCAAAGGGAGAGGGATAAGTAGACTGCCCTGAGCACGGAGCCCAGCATGGGGATTGATCCCAGGACCCTGCAATCAAACCAAGAGTCGGGGCACTCAACCAACTGAGCCAACCCAGGCGCCCCTGGGTAAATTATGTTTTAAACCCTTAATGAAAATTTATTTAGTGATTAAATGTGTTCAAATATGAAGACTATTTAGCATAATAGAAAATAGAAATAATGTGGAACACTACATTGGTAAGGGCATGAGATGAAAGATTGATGTTATGTATTACTTTGAAAGTTATAAAGTATTTTACTAATGTTTTTCTTAATTATATAGAAAAACTACTGGGGTACCTGAATGGCTCAGTCGTTAAGCGTCTGCCTTCGGCTCGGGTCATGATCCCAGGGTCCTGGGATCGAGCCCCACGTCGGGCTCCCTGCTCCATGTAGAGGCTGCTTCTCCCTCTGCCGCGCACCGCCCTCATGCTCTGTCTCGCTCTCTCACTGTAGCTCAAATAAATAAATAAAATCTTAAAAAAAAAAAAGGCACTATTGTTGGCCTTGGGGACAGAGGCCCCAGAACTTACATTTTAAACAAGAACCCAGGTGATTCCAACATGAGTGATCTCTTGGCCATGTTTTAAGAGACACTGACTTAGAATAAGGGTTGCAGTGATTCTTAACCTTGGCTACACATTAGAATCATCTGGGGAGCTTGAAAAAAAGTGCCTAAGCTCACCCTGTATCAACTGAATCAGAACTGAGGGGGTGGTGGATAGGGCGTGGGCATCTCTATTAACTCAGTGTTGAGAACCACCAGAATCAAAGAATTAAGCTCTTGGATGCCATTTCAGTACCTCCATTATTAAATGTCATCACCATATTGACTTATTTTGGTCTTCATGTTTTCAGAAGAATCTTTCTTCTTTATATTTATGATGCACACTGAACACGTCTGGGACTTGTCTTTCATGAGTATTACTTTTGTATTGGCCTCCAAAACTTCCACAGATACTTTCATTCAGCTTTTGATTTGCTTTCTTGCAGATAGTACTTTAACTGCTCTGTTACCCCCATTGGGCGCCTGGGTGGCTCAGTTGGTTAACTGCTATGTTACTCCCTCTTCCTAGCAGCTACTTTCCCTCCTGGGACATAGAGGAGATAGGGAGAAAAACTCCAAAACACATAGTGGACTCTGTTCTTTGTCAATCAGGAGTTTCTCTGAACATACCTTCCCTGTCACCTATTCCCCACCCGGCAAGAATTCAGCATTTGAATCTCACAGGATTCTGACTTCCTATAGCTTCCCAGCTATCATACCTATTTGACAAAGTCTTGTTTTTCCCCTTCCTTAAAGAGATGTATTTTCCTCTTGATTGTATATATATAATTGTGGTAAACTATACATAACATAAATTTACCATCGTAATGTGTACAATTCAATGGCATTAGGTACATTCACATGTTTTCAACCATCACCACCATCCATCACTGTCCCAAACTGAAACTCTGCATGTATGTACCACGTTTTGTTTATCTGTTTGGCTCTAATGAATATTTGGGTTGTCTCCTTTCTTTGGTTCTTGTGAAGAGTGCTGCTATGAACATTGGTATGCAAGTATCTTTTCAGTAGATATCTGTTTACCAAATCATTTTACCCATGATTTCATCAAGCTATGAAGAATAGTTCTTGAAGTATAAATCTTCTAATATTTACTGGGTAGGAACAAACAGTGCGTATTTCATTCTTTTCTCTCTGTGTCACCTCTCCTTTGCTACTCTGTTTTCACTGTAAATTTTGAATGTCTTGTTGATAAATGGTCTAAGTCACTAACACCTCCACATAACTCAGTTCTCAGTGCTTGTCTTCCTTGACCTGTTAGCTGCCCTGGAGTCAGTTGATGGACACCACTTCCTTGGAAAACGTCCTTCACTGCAACTTGCAGAATACCTTGCTGTTACAGCTTTCCTCCTGTCTACTGCTTCTTCCCTCTGGGGCTCCTTTGCCCAGACCACCTTATCACCCAATCTCTAAGCCTCAGAGTACCCTTTTCTTTATCTGATCCTAGCTCAGGGCTTTAAGCACCAGGTATATGCTGATGACACCCAAGTTTATATCTCCAGATCTGACCTCTCCTTTGATCACCAAATTCATATATCCTGGTTGGATATTTAATTAGGCATCTTGAATTTTCTGTTCCTTTCCTCATCACCCTCCTCCCCCACCCCACCCCCAAACTTGCTCCTTCTGAAGTTTTCCCCTTTTGGTAAATGGCCATTCTGCTCAGAGACCTGTAGCTTCTCACCTCACTCAGGTTCAAGGCCAGAGTAGCTGCAATGGCCTACATGGCCCTGCATGGGTGCTCCTCAGTGTAATCGGGGACCCATGTGGGGCTTTGACTGCTGTATCCAGACTGTGAGGAGGTCAGTACAGAAAGGGAGAATAGGGCTTAGATACTTTCACAGCAGTCTGACAGGTGATTTTAGGTCTGTTGAATCTAATAAGAAGTCCGGGCTTAGGTTTTAGGTTTTATGTATCTTTTTTAATTTGGTTTTTTGTTTTTGGGGTTTTTTTAGTAATTTAACTGACTGAGCTACCCAGGTGCCCTTTAGTAATTTAATATGTTTTTTAAAAATAGCTTGCCATGGAATAGAAACTTTAAAAAATAACAGGTCATTTACCAAAGACAGATTGAGAAGCGTTGCTCTTGACAATGTGCCCTGCCTTCCCCTGCTCCGTATGTGACCTCATCTCCCACCTCTGACCCCTACCCCTCCGCTGTAGCCATCCTGCCTACCTTGCTGTTCCTGCAACAGTCCAGTCCTGCTTCCCCTCTATATCTCTTAGAGTAGCTATCTGGCTTTTTTCCTCACTGCCTTCAGTGAGGAAGCTTTGGTGAGGTTTTCCCTGCCCAGCCTGTCAAACAAAAAATGCCACCTGCATCTAGCCCCTGCCTACCCTTTCTCCCCTTTCCACGTGGCTTTATTTTTTCCTTTGCACTTTTCATTATCTAACATGCTATATATTTTACTTATTTATCTTAATCGTCTCTCTCTACATTAACATTTTAGCTCCGAGAAGGCAAGGATTGTTACTTGTTTTGTTCATTGGTTTAGCCACAGAATCGAGAAGAGTACCTGGTACCATAGTAGGTGCTCAATAAATATTTGTTAAATAATTGGATTCTGAGATGAGATTTACTGTATATATGGAAATTGTACAGGGGACAGGGAAGTACCTTGGAGAAACTGAAAGCTTGAGGCAAATATAAAAATGGGAAAAATCAGAGTTAGCATTTTCAAGTCATTCGGGATGGCCATTTCTTCTCTATTACAAGGAGGAGGGTTTGCTTAATCTTGCACCATTGCTAGAGCCTTTGAGCAAGTGAAGGTTGACTCTGTTCTTTGCCTTATTTCTAGGCCCTTCCCCGATTTAACCAGGAAGGAGAAGTATATAAAGCACAGATAATGAATGTGAGCTGGTCAGCTGATCACAGAATTATTGATGGTGCTACAATGTCACGCTTCTCTAATTTGTGGAAATCCTACTTAGAAAACCCAGCCTTTATGCTACTTGATCTGAAATGAAGATTGATGGGATATTACTGAACTTTTTGAGCTTCCAAAGAATATGTAGAGCCTAGCTGTGCAACACATGTTCTTCATCACAATTTGTATTAGAAATGATTTGTATTGTATAATTAAGGTTCCAAGGCACAATATTTATCTCTGTTCTGTTAGACATTTTACTGAAAATGAATGATGGTGTAAGAGTTCTCCTGGGGCTGTCACATTTTATAGGTCGTGGTGTCACTTCTTAATATGGTGCTGAGGTCTTTGTGTCCATGGGTTGAAATTAGCAAGAACAACAAAATTAACGTTACTAAAGGAGAGACTGCCATATCCAGTGTTTACCCTATTTTTCTTTCTTTTTTTATTTTAGACTGACCTTAATGAAACTTGTCAGTTACACTTAGTTGGGAAAAGGAATTTACATACAGAAGTATCTTCCATTTCCCCACAATAACGCTAACTGTTGTATAAAATAAGTGCAATTACTTAACCTTTTAAGATTTCCATGATTATGTTGCTCTGTAGAGATTGTCTGTAAATGTCTTTATATAAATTAATATCTTTTAAAAGGGAAAATTATACGCTAATCTTAAAAATGCCCAATTATAGGGATGCTTGGCTGGCTCATTCGGAAGAACACGCAACTCAATCTCGGGAGTCGTGAGTTCAAGCCCCACGTTGGGCGTAGAGCCTACTTAAAAAAAAAAAAAAAAGCCCAATTATAGTTTTATAACCAGTAAGGCTATCAAAAGCGTTTGTTTAAAATGAATGTACTTTTAGAATTTTGGTAATGTTTTGGTGTTTTGTTAGGGAAAAAAGTTCACCTTGGCAAACTTGCCTCATGTAAAGAAAGTGCTTTAAATATAGCAGCTGCTGACATTGTTTTACATTTAGAAGTCTATTGCCTTTTAACTATTTTTTATCTTTCTTGTCTTTAGCTAAAACATAGGATAGGATAATGTATTCCATTCTCCATATCCTGAGAAAGAATGTGAATAAGAGGAGAGAGAAGAGTCTAATGGGTAATTATGGACATTAAAACAATAAATATCATACAGAAATGAAGGTATCATAATGATCATTTTGTCAGAGTCCCACTTTAATCATAAATAGCATCAAGGTGAATATAATCCAACATTTTGATTTGCATTCAGAAATCCAGGTTGCTTCTAATGTTGTCTAACTGACTATTGTATGTTCAAGTGAAATTTTGTAACAAAAAAGAAATTGTTTTAAATCTACTCGATTTTTTCAAAATGAGAATCATGTAAAGTAGAAAATAATGAGTCAAATGAATGTTATTTTTAAAATTTAGATAGTACAAGGAGTTACAAAGAAAATAAAATCATCCATAACCATATCACTCTTAACGTTTAGATCAAGGTATCTGTATACATAGCTATTCTTTTTAAAAAAATGAGATCATGCTATATCTACTATTTTGTAATTTGATTTTTTAATTTAACATTATGAGTAACTTTACATGTCAATAAATAATTCTACATTATCATACTTTAGATGGCTGCATAATATTCTATTGTGTGTATTTGTTATACATTTGATAGTAAACTTCTGCTATATACCGAGCATGGTGCTAAGCACTGGACACAGAATGCCCTCCCTAATGGTCCCTGCCTTCACTGGGTTTACAGTGTAGTGGAGGAGGCAGATACTAAATAATCATAAAAAGTAAAACATCATTACATGTCTAAGTAGGAAAAAAGAGGGTGCTGTGAGAGCATCTAATAAAGGTTGGTAATCCTTCCTGAGAGGGTTAAGAGAGTATGTACCATAATTCAACCTGTTCCCTATTGATGGCATTTGCAGAATTTTAAATGAAGAACAATATGTTCAGTTGTCTCTCTCTCTCTCTTTTTTTATAAAGGAGATAAAAGTTTATTGAATACACCACAAGGGAGTGGCAGGCAGGACAGCAGGAAAGAGGCTGTCTGCTTGATTAGTTGTCTCCTAAGGAAGATTCCCCCAAGCCACTCTGGACACTGTCCCTTACATCCTACTGACTAGAACTATAATTTAGTCATATGGCCACACCTAGTTGCAAAGGAGGCTGGGAAATGAGAGGGCATGTGCTTAGCTAAATATTTGGTTACTATGGGTAAAGGAGACAATGGCTGTAAGGGGATAATTGCCACCTCTGCCAATAGAAGATATTTTATCCATTTTTTGTTAGTAAAGACTATAATACATTAGGCAATTTCTCCTTGTCACACAGCCACGAAAGTGCAAACTGAGGCTCAATCCAGGTAAATCCACTTGCTACTCTATCGCATTATGTCTTAACACAACTCTGACCAACTTCTCTGACTTAAGCTAATAAGCAATAGGGAGTAGTAAGAGTAGTAATGGGTTGGGACACTATCAAGTGAAGTGCCTAATGAAGCCCAGATGTTACTTTATCCTGTTTTAAGTCTTCTCTAAGCTTTCTCAGCAATTGAGAAGGCTGAGTTTCATTTCTATTGTTTTCTTTTCTACTTTTGTCCCCTGGGACATATCATAAGTACCACTATCAAAAAGGTCAAAAATTTGGGATGCCTGGGTGGCTCAGTCGGTTAAGTGGCTGCCTTTGGCTCGGGTTGTGATCCCAGGTTCCTGGGATCGAGTGCCACATTGGGCTCCTTGCTCGGTGGGGAGCCTGCTGTCCCCCTGCTTGTGCTCTCTCTCCCCAACAAATAAATAAATCTTTAAAGGTCAAAAATTTGAGGAGATAAAAATGCAGGGACTACCTGTTGCATTCCATTGTTCAAATTTCTCTCCTTTTCAGCCTGAACCTGTATTTTTAAAGTGTAACAGCCAGGGCCTTTTCCACTGCAAGTGACAAACGCCTAATTCTTCCTGGGTTATATTACAAAGGGTATTTGATTCATATTAACTGAAACACTCAGGGATATCAGTTTCAGGTATGGTTGGATCCAGGGACTTAATAAATTCAAGACAGTCTCTATTTCTCTCTGTCTCTGTCTCTATCTCTTCACTGTATCTCTTGGATCTTTTTTGCTTTGTGTTGATTTCATTCTCAAGACAAGCTGTTCCAATGTGTTGACAAAGATGCTTAGGAGTACCCAGACTTATATTCCTCAGAACTCACATTCTGTTTCCAGTTAAAATCCCAAGGAGAATTTTGATTGGTCTGGCTTGGTTCATGCCCCTCAATGTGAAGAATACAATACCCTGATTGGCCAGGCTTGAATCTTAACGGTTACCTTTGGAGCCTGGGAGTCAGTCAGCGCCATTCAACCACATGGACTAAGAGAGGGGATCTGGAAGAATATCTGGGCAGATTAAAAACAAAAAAAGTCAACTACATAAAGTGAGCCGTTGCCTTCCCGCCCCACCTCATATTACATAATGAATGTTTTCTAAGGGAGCTCTTGAAGAACCTGGGTCGAGAGGAAGCCGAAGAGGTGGAATAGGGAGTGGGAGGTAAATACAGAAGATAATATTAAACTGTGTGACTGTTGGTTGTGATTGCAAGATTTTGCAGTATCGCTGACAAAGAATATTTGTATTTTCTGCCTAGTTTTAGTTCAGTGTTAACGAGAAATAATTTCATTCTCAAACCTCAAATGACACAGTGTTGATAATTCAACTGATGTCAAAATACAAATTACTAGCTTCAAATTTTCTATTCATCTAATCTTTCTTAAAGTTCTTGCATGCTAATCTATTTTTGCATGCTAATCTATTCACTGGCTTTGATGTTTTACACATACACTGGTGTATTGATTATGGGCAGAAGGAAAAAGTCTAAGTTAGATTTTCAAAGCCCATTTCTATGAAAAAACAGAAGATGAATAGGATCTTATGGCTTACCATAGGGATAGTTATCAAGAGAAGAAGAAGATACACATTTCAATTTACCTGACACATCCTGCAAGAGATCGTGGCCGCCAGGTTAGTCTTAAAAGATTCCTTCCAAATTCTGCAGCAGATGCCTCAGCCGTTCTTCACAGTACCTGTGTCAATCTTTTCTCTTTATTTAAGCACCTGCACAGACATCTCCCCAGGCCTGTTGTATTAAGCAGATAGCTCCTAATGTCTTCAGAGAAGACAAGGTGATTCAACCCAACGATCTTTCATTTCTCCCCTTTTCACCTCAAAATCTCTATATTCTCACACTTTCCCTGTTTTTCTTTTTGAGGAAGATGTGATTCTCCAGCAAAAATCAAACTTCCTACTCTCTATTATTAATCCCATTTCTTCCTCCTGATCCTTGCTTTATGTTTACTCCATGGCCCCATTTTGATCTTTTAGTCTCTTCCTCACGTGTAGAACTGTACCAGATGCACTCCTCTGGCACACTGGTTAAGATTTATTTCCAGTTCCTCACGGAGGACTTACTAGAGACTGATCCCAGAACTCAGCATATTTACTTTTTTTTCTTTTTTAAAGATTTTATTTATTTATTAGAGAGAATGAGAGACAGCACGAGAGGGAAGAGGGTCAGAGGGAGAAGCAGACCCTCCGCTGAGCAGGGAGCCCGATGTGGGACTCGATCCCGGGACTCCAGGATCATGACCTGAGCCGAAGGCAGTCGCTTAACCAACTGAGTCACCCAGGCGCCCTCTTTTTTTTTTTTTAAAGAATGCTGGGCTTGAAATCTGAAGAGTTTTGTTTTGTTTTGTTTTTTAGATTTTATTTATTTATTTGTCAGAGGGAGAGAGG